GCATTGTTTCAAAAGGCAAATAGCAGAGATAGAATAATAATAATAAAGAAGAAGTGGAAGAAAATCTAAGGATTGTTCAAAAACAACAGGTGTGAATAAAATCTACTGTTGCAGATAAAAATTTGGGCGACGAATATCCATCGTAAGCTATTTGGATTGAAAAATATTGATGACTTGTGAAAGATAACGATGAATTCTGAGATCTAAGTAATAAAAGCTGGAATATTACATTTAACATTGGTTGGGACATGTAAAAAGAATGCAAGACGATTATTTTTGATTATACAGGGCATTCCGTAACTTTAGGTCATTACAAAGTTATCAACCAATTTTTTTTTTTTTTAAATGGCAACAAATGTGTATTTGACGAATCAAAACTCAAGTACCTACATTACTTTCTCATTTTTTTAGTTGCGCCCTCTTATGTTTAATACCGCGAAAACCCCCCCTCGTACCGATTTGATCGAAAACCAAATTGATGTACAGAAAAAAAAAATTATTCAAAATAATGAAAAATAATTTTTAAGTTTTTCAATAATCTTGAAAAAATGTATTTAAAATTGAAATCAGACGGCAGTTTTTTACCTTTTTTATGCAGAGGAATGACTTTAACATTTATACATATCTGGGAAACTACCAGTGAGAAAAATGTTATTGATTAAATTTTCCAAAGGGTCTAATATAATTTCAATAGTTTCTTTTATGAGCTTGGCGTTAATCTCATGAATATCTGGACATGACGAATTTTTAAAAGTTCCGACAACATCAAGAACCTCATCTCTTATAACTGGAAAAAGAAAAAAATATGAGCAGGGAGCTGGAAATGTTTTAAACATTAGTACCAAACATAAATGAGTAATTATGAAGAAAAGAAAAAACACGAAAGTCTGTCGATCACAGGATCTTTAATTAAATTTTTCAAAAAATGTTTTAAGTTTTCAGGAAATGTTTTAAGCTTAAAATTTCGGACAGCTTTGATATATGGATAAATATTTGAATTTAGGAGTTACATATTTTCGTCGACTTACATGCCATACACAGTACGAAAAATAATCCACAACTCCACCACGCTACTTAAAAAATGTCCATCCAAACTCACCAATCACAAAGAAACTCAAAATTACAAATCGTAGCCCATATAACACCGCGCGAGGCACCCAGTCACACATCAAGATGCATTTTGCATTGCATTAGTCAAAGTCGAAAGACTGAAAACTGAAATCCTCTTCCTCTACTTACCCAGCTTTAAGTCAGTCATGTCGCCAGTCGCGGTCTCTCGCGAGAAAAGTCATAATTAAGAAGCGAGTAAGGTACCGAATAACCATTGGAGTAAATACCAACGGCTACGGGCGGGAGGGGGTGTATGTAATGTAAATGTATATGTAACTAGAATCAGTACAATCGTTGAAAAGACACGCTTGTATTATACCTTTTATTATTTATTATTAAGCGAACGTACAGCTGCTTTCGATTACTGCTAGTGAACGCAGTAAATCTAAAGAGTAGAGTGAATGGACTTAACTTCCACGGACGGGAATGATATGGTAAATTTAAGATGGGATATCGCTGGTCGAAAATAGATCAAGCGTGAATTCGAAAGAAAAGTACATTGCGAATGTGAGGACTGCTCCCCTGACTTTTCATTTTATTAATTCACTATTATTGGTTTTGTATATTTATTTATTTATAAGTCAGAGCGCATTAAAACAATACCATTACAGAGAATATATATCACATGCATTAAATAGTAATAAAATCCTAAATAATACTAATAATAAAAAAAAATGTTCGAAACCCACCATTGGCCGGGATTTTTTTATTTAATTTAATTATTTAAAATTAATTCTGATGTCTTGGCAGGATTCCCCACTTGACCATTCACTGTTGGGTTCTAATTAACAGTGCTGTTCCTAAAGTGGCGCTGGGAAACAGTAACAAAGCCTATACAGAACACGACGCTAATGATCTTAGTAGTCGATGCCGATGACACCAAATTAAAAAAACATAAATTAATTAATTTAAATATATACATATTAAAAAACAATTAATTAAAAAATCTAACATCTATTCCTCACATATACATAAATGGTTAGAAAATTCTGATAAAGAAGTAATCCCTTCTACATTTAGTCTGTTAGCAGATCTTGTCACTCTAGGAATAAAAGAATGAGAACCATAATGTGTTCTATGGAAAGGTTGGGAGAATGTATTATATTCCTAATTACTCTAGAGCAGCCATACTCAACCTCCGGTCCTCCAAGCTTTTTTTTGTTGCCCGCAACACTATTAGTGGTCGCAGCGCTAAATAGCATGCTAATTTTTACTTTCCTATCTGTATACAGATATAAGGAAAGTATAGGAATCATGATTTTTTTCGACCTCGAGTTTTCGACGGATTTTTACGTTTTGAGGTCCCCTGAATCCGTTTTGACTATTTTCGCGATGATGTCTGTGTGTGTGTGTGTGTGTGTGTGTGTGTGTGTGTGTCTGTGTGTGTGTGTGTCTGTGTGTGTGTGTGTCTGTATAACGCATAACTCATAAACCGATACACAGAAAAACACCAAATTTTAAACTTAAGCTTTGTTTCAGCGTCTAATGAGCTGATTAGATTTTGGGCAGAGTCGGAACATTTGGGGGGGTACTTTATAGGTGGTCATTTTTATATTTTATGGAATATATCTGTTATTTACGTTTGGAGAAGAAAATTCTTTAAATAAAAGTTACTTCTTATATTATTATCTATAATTTTTGTTCTATACAAAATTTTCCTAAAATGGTCCGTATTCGAGAAATTTGACAAAATGTAAAAAAAATATTTTTTTATAAAAATTGTTCAAATAAAAGTTGTTTGTAATATAATTCTCTATAATTTTTATTCTTTACATAATTTCTCTAAAATGGACCGTATTCGAGATATTTGAGAAAATGTGTAAATTTCGAATTTTGAAGAAAACTCAAAAACGGATAAAGAAAAAAACATTAAATTTTAAACTTAAGGTTTATTTCGGCCTGACGTGAAATGATTAGATTTTGGACAAAGTCGGAACATCTGGGGGGGTACTTTATGGGAGGCCGTTTTTATATTTTATGGAATATATCTGTTAGTTATGTTTGGAGAGGAAAATTGTTCAAATAAAAGTTACTTCTAATATTATTATCTGTAATTTTTGTTTTATGTAAAAATTTTTTGAAATGGTCCGTATTCGAGAAATTTGACAAAATGTGCAAAATTCTGATTTTTATTATGAAAGTTTTTGAAATAAAAATTGTTTACGATATCGATCTCTATAATTTTTGTTTATACATGATTTTCCTAAAATGGACCGTAATGAAAAAATTGTAGGAAATTAAAATTTTTCAGTATTTTCGTTTTCCATGAATATCTATAGAAAAATGTTTCGAGGTAGATGTATGTGGACAATGTATATATTTAGTTTATCCTCTAAACATTTATATAACTAGATAGGAAAGTCATGTGTTGGACACATCAGATTTTTAAATAAACTTTTGGAATTTTGTGGGGTTACTGAAAAAACAAGATAGCTCCACTTTTGGAATTTTCGAGTTAAGTAGGTACACTTTCTCTACAAACTTGTACAAGGTACAAAGGTGACAGAGTGGGTGATATGAACTAACATGGGATAAAACACAATAAGCCAATAGGCTTCAGTGTTATTCGGAGACATAGTCAGACGAGCACAGAAACAAAAAAAAGCCGATCCTGGTCCTCTCGCCGTTGCAGCCGTCGCTTCGTTTATATTTCGATACCTCAACACAAAGACAAACGCACTCCTTGGAGAAGTTACCAGCGAAATCTTTGTACGTCGGCTGATTCATAGAGGAAGAAATTCCAGAGATTCTAGACCGCCGACAATGTATCCGTACAGAGCTGGCTTTATATAAATAGCGCGACTTTGTCGGTAGACGTTAAGTTTCAATATAAGTGTTGTATAGTAAAGATACGTTGTAATTAATGACAAAATTGTGAGTTATAATAGCGCCAAAGTATTAAATAAATTAAATAGTACGTTAAAAATAAATTATAAATAAACTGTTTTTAATAAATATGTTTAAAGTAAACAATCGTTACACATTTTGCGCATTTGGGTATTAATTAATAAGAAACAAGAAAATTACAATTAATTTCTCTTGTATAAACATATACTCAAACATAAAATGGCATTCAGCTATGAGGATGTACCAACAAGAGTAACATTGAAGTACATCGCTTCCAGAATAAAGTGAATATAATGAATGCCCTTTGGTACCTTAGAAACAGTAACCTTCACAAAGATGGATACCGTCAACCAGACACCAGACCTTCCAGAATATTGCTGAAAGTTATGAATATCGACTCCACAGTCAAGTTAATATCGAGGCATTCCAGCTTCTAGATAACATGAATTTAAAAAGAAGACTGAAATGGGTAAAACCCTTTAAGTTAGTGCAAAGCAGAGTAAAGTGCGCCATATATACACGTTAAATCTTAGTGTAAATAAGTCATAGAGTCTAAGAATTATTGTTGTGTAAAAGACTTTAATTTATAGTTTTATGTTATAATAAAATATCTGAATGATCACCGGTGATCACATTGTACTTATAGTGAAACTGATCTATCCAGTACTTTCTAATTATACGAAGAAAAAAAAACAAATATTTGTATTATTCTTATTATTTCAGTACCATTTTCGATATTTTCAATATTTTCTCACTAATTAAATAATAATCAATAGCTGGATAAAAGAGTTAGTTTGATTACAGTAAAGCTATATTTTGACTTTCGCCACTAGGGAATTTTTTTTGAAAACAAAAAATAAAAATACTGGACAAATTAGAAAGTATTTTTTTGTTAACTTTCTGTATGCGAGGGAAATTTAATATCTTGCCCCTCCCTGATTTTGACTCTTTGTAATACGTGATTAAAATTAATTGACAGTTCAGAGTTTAGTAAAAGTAGTAGGTAACTAATATTCGACGCATGTACTTGTGACGGTACTCACCCTCTTACTTTTATTCCAATTTTTTTCGTCGTTAATGTGGAACCTTAACATCTACTGCGAATTGAAAATGTAACGACAGTTATCTGTTTATCAAGTCTTATCAGTGTTATTTATTCAGCGGTTTTCGATACGGATTACGAGTTTTTAGACAGAACTGATAAGTATTATTGGTTTGTTCCAAAATATCGCGAATTGTGCATATCTGAATTTTTTTAGGTAGGTACTTTACGGAAATTAAATGTAGATAACAAATATTATAGTGAAAGGCTTACATCGGAAAAAGATGTTCACAGAGATAAATTTGGTTAAAATGGTTTCAAAAATTCTTATGTTAACCACGAACCAAAATTGTTGGTGAATGATAAAATTATCAAAGTCCTACAAATTTTACCGATAAAATTTATAGTTTCCACGAAAACGATTAAAAACAAACAAAAACAAACCAATTTTATAAAGGCGTTTGAGTAAGGAAACTCTAAATTTAATAGATACAATTTGAAAGGACGAGAGGTATTTGAAAATATTATTTTTTGAATCATGTTGCATGAAAAAGACACAATAAACATATTTGGAAGTGTTTTTTAAGCATAATATTTGTTTATTTTATATAGTAATATAGTTTGTTATAATAAAAAAAATAAATACGGCAACAGCGTATACTGTACAGACGGAGTGGCCAGATATCGCATGTGTTTTGCGAATTTGACATTTGCCGAATTTTAAAGTTTTTGTGATTTCCGTGTCAAACTATAAAATTGAATAAGATATTTGTAATAAATATGCTGTTGTACTATAATGCAGTGTATTTTATTCATAACGAGTACACACAAACAAGATTGTGATAACTAAGTACAAGTCGTTGATCTGGCAACCTGAAGATACTACGAGTACATGTGTATTGTGTAAGCGCAAAGTAAGACCGGTCCCCCACTATTGTGAGTGCATTTTGTCAATTTTATAGGTTATCTTTTTAACCCTTTTCTTGGCGTCGTATCTCTCAAGATACCAATTTCCCCGATTTTTTTGTAAGTAGTAAATCGTTAAATTTGGGGATGATGTTGGCAATACCGTATGTACCATAGATAAATTAATATTAAAAGATAAACCGTTTAAATGCACGGCACTGGTAACAAGTGGTAGTTCCCGGCCATACTACTTGGAGCCACCATATATATTTTTAACGAGGTTATCAACACAGTTGCCAAACCTCTCTTTAAAATATCTCAGCAATAATATGGCCATTGTATAGATGGTATCGAGCACGACAAAAACAAAATAAGGTGCAGCTCATGCGTTTGAATAAGTCTAATCTCATGAAAGTTTATGGAAACTGACAACATCGCTGTCGTCTTATTTGCGACGGTGGCTCCAAGTAGTATGGCCGGGAACTACCACTTGTTACCAGGGCCGTGCATTTAAACGGTTTATCTTTTAATATTAATTTATCTATGGTATGTACCACATCCTGTATTAACGGCATATACTTTGATTACTATACGAGGCAAGAGAGAGGTCTAACACGCCCAACATAGGGCGCGGCCATTTTGAACCCTGTGACACAGTTTACAGCTAAAGAATCAGATCGCTCACTCTGCGTCGGCACTTTTTATCTCAATGTTTCAGTTTATACACTGTGCAACTCGGATAATACAATATATGACAACCGCCTATAATAAAACAGCAGTCTTCTGCGTATCCTGAATTTGTATCCCTGGAGTGCATGTTATTTTGGAACTTTCAACTGGTCCGAGTGAGCTAACTGATTCTTTAGCAATAAACTGTGACTTCAAAAATAATATTCACTGACACTGACAGCAGCAAGCAAAATATCAGGTGCGTTTTAATCATCCGCTTCTGCTTCCGGAATTGTCGGTTTAGTCGTTTTAACCTGTCAGATTAAAACAAGAAAACCGACAATTCCGAAGCAGAAGCGGATGATTAAAACGCACCTATTAAAAATATTGCGCCAAGATGTAGGCAACACGTAATAAGGGTTCAAAATGGCGGAGTTTTCTATCTCCTTTTAAAAGGCACTCAGAAAGCTGCGCAGTGCGACCATTCTCCGTATAGTAAAAGAAAATCAAAGTATGTGATTAACGGCTGTTTAGGTTTGAAGCCACATACTTTGATTTTCTTTTACTATATGGAGAATGGTCGCACTGCGCAGCTTTCTGAGTGCCTTTTAAAAGGAGATAGAAAACTCCGCCATTTTGAACCCTTATTACGTGTTGCCTACATCTTGGCGCAATATTTTTAATAGGTGCGTTTTAATCATCCGCTTCTGCTTCGGAATTGTCGGTTTTCTTGTTTTAATCTGACAGGTTAGAACGACTGAACCGACAATTCCGGAAGCAGAAGCGGATGATTAAAACGCACCTCATTATTTGCTTGCTGCTGTCAGTGTCAGTGAATATTATTTTTGGAATCACAGTTTATTGCTAAAGAATCAGTTAGCTCACTCGGACCAGTTGAAAGTTCCAAAATAACATCCACTCCAGTGATACAAATTCAGGATACGCAGAAGACTGCTGTTTTATTATAGGCGGTTGTCATATATTGTATTATCTGAGTTGCGCAGTGTATAAACTGGAACATTCAGATAAAAAGTGCCGACGCAGAGTGAGCGATCTGATTCTTTAGCTATAAACTGTGTCATAGGGTTCAAAATGGCCGCGCCACATACTTTGATTACTATACGGGGCAAGAGAGAGGTCCGACACGCCCAACATAAGGCGCGGCCATTTTGAACTGAAAGTTTTTTGCCTAAATCTGTACTGAGATCTATATTCTGTCATTGTGAACCCCAAATTTTTTGCTAACGAGCCGCTACTGGTCAAAATCAAAATATATACGTTACCAGTATCTATATCCACAGTTCTGTAGTATAAAACAACATGCAAAAAGAGTCATTATTGACTTTTCTGCTAAAAAGGTTTAGAATTATATGCCCGATAAACTGCCTAACGTGCCGCCTATGTCTTAGTTTGACCAGAGAGAACACTAAACTTATGTGTCCTTAACCAGGCGTAGTATCTTATAGGATACGAAACAATATTGTCGCCAAGCTGGCAGCGTATCTGACAATATACATAAAAATGGGGGTCTGTAAAATCAAAACTAAGCAAAAAAAAATTGTTTTCCTCTTTTTGCGTTATTTTGTTCAAATATACACCAAATATGTTAAAAAAAAATTTTCTCCCGTGAATCTGTTCTTGCCAAGAATATGGTTAATGTTATTTTTAAATACTTAGATTTTTTAGTAGACTTCAACAATAAAATGAAGAAATATTTCTAAAAATCGTTTTTTGTTTTGCAACAATAATGTCATATTTCAAATTATTAATATATTATAATTTTGGACATTTTCAATAAGAACGTCATACCATGAAATAAGCCATTACAGATGAATCATTTTAATTTAAAATGTACCTTACCTTTTCAAGAAAAGCGTTCAATTACAAGATATGTCGTTGAAATAAACTGCAAGATCTACCTCTACCATACACTGAAGCACAAGTAAAATAAGACGCTTTTGTGGAAAATGGACCGCAAGTATTAGATGATGCTATAGCAGAATCGCAATCGACACGGAGTAATATATCTGTCAGATCAAGAAATTTCAGGTGTGGGTACCTATATTATTATTTACGGGGTATATAAAATATATTTTTTTGAATATGTATTATTGAGTATTATTTCAGTATGTAGGTACCTACATTACAAAATGTTTTTTGAGTTATTTGCAATTGTTATATAAATCGTAGGGTAAATTATTAACAAGGTATATAACAAATATTTTAAGACCTATAAATTTGACTATTAGGTATACCTACAATAAATTGTTTAAATCGTTATTCATCATTGACTTCTTGTAAATTTTTGATATCAAGGTGAAAGTTAATGACAATTGGAGAGAAAGGTTTTAGCTTAGATTATAGAAAGTAATATGAGGGTTCAAAATCTATAAATGTGACTGTAATTGTATTAAAAATGTAAATGGGATAATTTTTTAGATTATAGAAATCGGTAATCTAAGGGGTTAATTGTTATTTTATCATCTTCTTGGAGATTACTAATGCCATAAAAAACCAAAATGATAACAAGGGGGTGAAATTATAAGATGGTTACCTACCTAGGTTTTGGTATGAAGATAAGATAGGCAGTTGCAGTTAGTATCTTGATCAGATCCCAATATTACCTACCCTGTTTGATTAGTCTTCTATATTAACTATTATAGTAAGACGTTGTGGTTATTTTTGGTTAATAGTGACAGTAGTATTGAAAAATACAATGTGGTTTAAGTTCAAAGTTTACACCTGTGAAACGTATAAAAAAGTGTGCGTTGTCAGTTAACGAGAAAATATTTGTAAGCAACGTTTATAATTGCCTAAGAATAAAAAATCCTTCGTTTTCTGTTGACGATACTGTTGAAAAGACAATATGATGGGTGTAAGCAAATCAACGATATAATATAAAGTTATAAGTGCATTAAAAAGTGGAGTTGTTGAACCCAAAACAAATTAAAAGGGGAAGTGATGACGGGTTTTAAAAACCTGCTGCTTTAATATTTCAATCTAAAAAACCGGAGACTACTATGAAGATATGCACGCTGATGTTTTTGAAGAATATTTTCAGGAGACGATAGAACATTACTATTTAATATTTTCATCAATGATATCTCGAGTGTAATCAAAGAGCAGTTTCTACTATATGCAGATGATTTAAAATTATACAAGCGTGTGACAAGTATTGATGACTGTGAACAACTTCACATGAACTTATATCTAGTGGTTTAACGGTGTAATAATAATAAACTTGAACTTAACCCAGTTAAATGTAAAGTTATGTCTTTTACTTTAAAAACCGACCAAATAAAATATAATTATTTAATAGATGTCTCACTTCAGCGACCAGATACTTTTACAGATCTTCGGGAAATTTTTGATCCCGGATTGACCTTTATATGTCACATAGATAAAATGATTGAAACATCGTATCGTATGTATGGTTTTATAACTCGCTGTACCAGGAATTTCAAAGATCTAGCCACATTAAAAATGTTATATTACTCTCTTATAAGATCAAAGCGTCTGTC